GCCAAAAATCATTAGGATATTAAGTAAAGATCATGTTCCACGAAGATAGTTTGTAAATTTCATACTGTAAATATATTAAAACTTAATTTTTGATTAGTAATATGCATTGCTAAGAACTTCATTTGGACAACTTTAAAGGCAATTTTCTCAATATTTCGATTTTTTTGCACCCTCAGATTCCAGATTTTCAAATAGTTGTATCTCAGCCAAATATTGTCCTATCCTAACAAACCATACATCAATGGAAAGCTGAAAATTATTCAGCTTTCAGATGATGTATAAATCTCAATTTCGAAAATGACTGGTTTTGTGGACCAGGGTCTCACACACACACACACACACACACACACACACACACACACACACACACACAATAAATAAACATATATACTATTACACACACACATACATACATAAGATGCATATATACCATTACACACACGCGCACACGCACACACGCACACGCACACACACACACACATACACACACACGCACACACACACACACATATATACTATTACACACATTCACACATACAAATATACATGCATACATTTACACACACGGAGCTGGGTAGATTACTTACAAATTGTAATCCGTTACTGATTCCAAATTACATGGCAAAAATTGTAGTCAGTAACGTAATCCATTACTTTACACATTTTAGGTAATGTAATCAGACTACTTTTAGATTACTTTTGTCCTCGTTTATCACATTGATTTAAATAGGATAAGCTTGTACCATAATGATGTAAAAATACAGAATGGAAAAAATATTCCATTCATCATTGTAATTAACAACATGAAGTGTATTAAAAATTATATTACATCAAGGTTTCCCAAACTGGGGTTAATAAAGGAACTGCAGGGGGTTTGTGAGTTTAATGAAAAGCTACTAAGATTACAATCAAAGTGCTCACATCCAGCAGGCCAAAAGCTCAGTGTGGGTGCTCAACCACAAACTAATCAGAGCAAAGTTGGCACAACCTTTTTTAACTTTAGTTCATGTGTAATGTTCCTGTTTGAGCATAATATCCGCAAAGGGAGATATTTTATTTTACAGAATTTGCTTTTTAAAGCAGCACTATGCAACTTTTGGCGCTCTAGCTGTTAATAAACAGAGCTGCACACATCCCGCGGAAGAACATTCCAACCGGAGCTACTTCTCTAAGTTTATGTCTATGGCGATTCACGCAGGTATGTGTTACTCCGCAGCGGTGACCAGCCTACAATAGTCCGAATATACGTACTTATTATAAGTGTACCGGAGTGATTCGGAATAAGACAAAAACGCGGTTTGGAAGATGAATTCATGATGTACTCGCTCATTATATCAATTTTTGCAAATTTTGAACACAGAAAAAGTTACATAGTGCTGCTTTAAGGACTACAACAAACAGCTGGTAGGGACTACAACGAGCTTCTTCCTTGGTTTGTGATCTCATGAACCCTAAAATTTACATAAACCCTGCCAACACACTGACCAATCTGAGCTTATTTCTGAGGAAGGGGCTTCAGAGAACCAGGAAGTCAACACACTGTTTTTAGGAGAACGGAAACAGCGTAAAATAAATGAAAAATAATGGAATTAAAAAAAAAAACAAGCATGAACACTTGTTACAGTGCCCCCCATAAACACAATCAAGCCTTCGAAAATAGCTGGTTGACCACCCCTTTATTAGGTGAAAGAGGTTCAGATGACAAAACGTGTGCCAATGTCTGCATTACATGTAAATAACGAGTTTGAAAGACAAAAGCCTTTCAATAATACATGGTTAAATAACCTACTGATTGATATCATTCAAATAAAAATGAATGTGTTCATCAGTAGTTGATGCAGTGTTGAAACACTTTTGTAAATCCAGTGGCCAGATGTTGTATATCCACCTGTGACTGATGTCTGTGTGAATGTCCACAACACTGGACTTTCTGAGTCAGGGAACATTTAAAAGAGGAATTAGGGAGAATTAATAAATTACAAATAATTTATTGCTATTGTGTAAATAATATGCAATCATGTAATCCATAAAAAAGTAACTGTAGTCTGATTACGTAGTATTTTAAAATGTCATTTACTCTAATTACAAGTACTTCATTTTTGGAATCGAATTACATAATCCGGATTACATGTAATCAGTTACTACCCAGCTCTGTACACACACACTCACACACACACACACACACACACACACACACACTCACTCACTCACTCACTCACTCACTCACTCACACACTCACACACACACACATACACACACACACACACACACACACACACTCACACTCACACACACACACACACACACACACACACACACTCACTCACTCACTCACTCACTCACTCACTCACACACTCACACTCTCACACACACACACTCACACACACACACTCTCACTCTCTCTCACACACACACACAATAAAGTGTGTAAAAAGACTTACATAAAGTGTGTACATCAACCTGTAAGCATGTCTACTCTAATGCTCAATATTATTACAAAATCTTTTAGACTATTTTGTTAAATTGACATTAAAAATGATTTACACTGCAATATATATCTTGCTTGAAAACTTCATTTCATCACTAAAAACATTTGTCCTTGATCTTCTGTTATTGTGGACGTTGGACACTGTTCTGGAATGTAGGATTGTTCTGTATCATTTTCAATAATCCTCCCATATTTACAACAGTCTTACTCTCTCTCTGTGTGTGTGTGTGTGTGTGTGGTTTTAAAGGCATACTGCGCATAAAAGCTACTAGTCCAGGAGTGGTGGTCATTGAAGGAGCAGAGACAGGACTTTACCTCTCTATGAATGAAGACGGCAAGCTGTACGCTTCAGTAAGTCGAATGAAATCCTTCTGATACAAAGGCATAAAACTTCATCAGTATTTTTTTGAACTGATGCATGTTTTTTCCGTCTTTGCAGTCATTAGTAACAGATGAAAGTTATTTCTTGGAGAGGATGGAGGAAAACCACTACAACACGTAACAGTCTCAAAAGCACGGTGAAAACTGGTACGTCGGGATAAAAAAGAATGGAAAAATGAAACGCGGTCCAAGAACACACATTGGACAAAAGGCGATCTTCTTTCTCCCTCGACAGGTGGACCAGACAAAGGACTGAAGCCTGAAACCTGATCATATTTCATCACACAGAATAACTGCTAACACTTTACAATAAGATCCCATTTGTAAACATTAGTTAACTACTGTTCATTTCATGGACCTAAACTAACATAAACTAACAATAAAGTTACATTTTCATTATCTAATGTTAGAAAATAGAAATAAATACTGTATATTTACTGTAGAAAAAAATACTGTAACAGACGTATTGCTCATTGTTAATGCATCAGATAACTTTAATTATTAGGACATTATTGTAAAGTGAATCACTACATACATAACCCACTGTTAAGTCACAGGATTACTCTACTAACTACACATGAACCGCATCGAACTCACTGTCAGACGGCTAAATATACAACAGATGCAGACGAACAGAAGTTTAGATGGAAACTTTACTATTTAAATATGCACTGACAAAGAAAGATATAGTATATAGAATAAAACTACTATAATAGTAATCTATTTTTATTTTTAAATTGAGTTCTTCAGTCCGAACAATCTTAAATGACATTTCATGTTGTATTTTCTTATGGTTATGTAATCATGTGTGTCTGATTGCGTTTAATTTTTCTGTTCATGAGCAACGTTATTGTGCTGTCATTGCACCTTTCTGGATCATGTTACACAATAAATCTCCTCACTGACATGTACTGTGTCCAGTCATTGAAGGTATATATTCATGTAAAATTATAATAACTGCAAATGAATAAATGGTAAATGTTACTATAAATACTACAATACGTAAGTCACCAAACCAACAAATCATAGTTAATCTTTACTAACACATGCATAATAGATTTATATATAATTGTTCAAATTAAGATCATTCAGTTGAGGATCTAAAAGTTTGGAGTCAATAAGATTTTTTTTTTTGGGGGGAAAGTGGGGTTAATGTTTTTGCTAGGCAAGGATGCATTAAATTAATTAAAATGATCAAGATGCTTTTGCATTATAATTAGAATATGCTCAAGGATCTGAAGGATCATGGGACACTGAATAATGCTCAAAATTCAGCTTTGTCATCACATGAAACCAAATGCATTTTAAAATTGATTTAAATAGAAAACCTTTGTAATAGTATTAGGGCTGTCGATTTAGCGCATTAAATTGGTGCAGTTAAATTAGAAAAAATAATGCGTTAAAATTATTAACGCATTAAAATCAGCCCGCCCCACTCATACCTGCACGTCATCTTGCATTGATGCAATTAACAAGATGACTGACTGATTTCACAACATTACTACTAAATAAAAGCAGCATCGCTGAGAATGAGAGACTTATTATTAAAATCTACAACCACAAACTGGAAGCGGTAGTGTATAATACTGACAAATACACAAGTGATCTGTGGTGTTGCCATATGTTACATTTATTAAAAGTTACTGGACAAGTGTAAAACATACAAATCACAAACGTGAAGCACTATCCCATACTGAAGTCTTCAATAAAAACAAAAAGATCAATGAACCATCTACTGCTACATTTGGCATCATAAAACATTGTTATTCACACTGATTGATTAAGCGCATTACATATTCAGGTGTGCTTTAATGCTGAATCAGTTTGCTGTTTATATTGAACTGCTATGAATCTAAGCTAACCTATTATATAATAAGAGTATTTTGGTCCGTTTGGTGACTAATTTAAAACAAGCTGACATATTTTCGAATACACTTTTAATATGCTTTTGGCTTTACAAGGACCTGGCAGTCGCTCTGTGCATCTTGTTCTTGTTTATATCTTGAAAGTGCATGTTTATAACATTTAATATCTCTTTTCTCGTATACTGTATATACATAGTTCACAAAGTTCAGTTACTAGATTTACCCACAAAGTAAAATTACAACTTTCACACAAATTAAGAGAAAACTGGAGCACATGCACACGTAAGCTTCTAACTGCATAATGAATGTATACTGTACGACTGAATTAAGCACTGATAAATGGTTGGAGGAACTCGGATCCTTTAGTAAAAAAAAGCCAATGTAATTAGTTGCATTATGCAAACAACAAGTGCAAGGGCGTCTGAAGCAGATGTGTTCTTTGCACTGCTGTTGTTTATGTCCTGAAGTGTATAATACTGACAAATACACAAGTGATCTGTGGTGTTGCCGTATGTGTTACATTTATTAAAAGTTACTGGACAAGTGTAAAACATACAAATCACAAACGTGAAGCACTATCCCATACTGAAGTCTTCAATAAAAACAAAAAGATCAATGAACCATCTACTGCTACATTTGGCATCATAAAACATTGTTATTCACACTGATTGATTAAGCGCATTACATATTCAGGTGTGCTTTAATGCTGAATCAGTTTGCTGTTTATATTGAACTGCTATGAATCTAAGCTAACCTATTATATAATAAGAGTATTTTGGTCCGTTTGGTGACTAATTTAAAACAAGCCGACATATTTTCGAATACACTTTTAATATGCTTTTGGCTTTACAAGGACCTGGCAGTCGCTCTGTGCATCTTGTTCTTGTTTATATCTTGAAAGTGCATGTTTATAACATTTAATATCTCTTTTCTCGTATACTGTATATACATAGTTCACAAAGTTCAGTTACTAGATTTACCCACAAAGTAAAATTACAACTTTCACACAAATTAAGAGAAAACTGGAGCACATGCACACGTAAGCTTCTAACTGCATAATGAATGTATACTGTACGACTGAATTAAGCACTGATAAATGGTTGGAGGAACTCGGATCCTTTAGTAAAAAAAAGCCAATGTAATTAGTTGCATTATGCAAACAACAAGTGCAAGGGCGTCTGAAGCAGATGTGTTCTTTGCACTGCTGTTGTTTATGTCCTGAAGATTCAAAAAAGCTGTAGGTGGCTCTCTTTGACTTTGCCGTTTTGTTCATTTTGCAATTATCCTGAGATTTTAATCTATTCACAAAATCAAAAGAGAGAAAACACTTCACCTTCATTTTAATATCATGTCCACAATCATTTACATCACTGAAAGGTTGTCTTTTAATTGGTTTTCCCCTAATGCAATGCACACACCTCATCTAAAAAATAAAAAAAAAGTAAATTTCTTGTGATTTATCTAATAGATAAAAAGAACTCGGGTTCGAGGAAGGGTAGACATGGAATGATCTGCCATGTTGCGAACTCTGGAATAGTTAACAAATCCCCGGAAGAACAGCAGGAATCCTGGTGTAATAAAAATGACAGTTGCAATAATATATTAATTGTTAATAAAAAAAAGATAAATTGATAATACTTAAGTAATGATATAAAATAATATTAACAATAAAGTCATAATGTTAAAGTTTTTTTTTTAATCATCGGAATAGATTTGGAGAAATGTAGCATTGCATCACTTGCTCACCGATGGATGCTCTGCAATGAATGGGTGCCGTCAGAATGAGAGTCACAACAGCTGATAAAAACATCACAATAATCCACACCACTCCAGTCCATCAGTTAACATGCTAGCTGCTTGTTTGTAATAAACTCATCAATAAGACATTTTAACTTAAAACCGTCACTTCTGGCCAAAATATGAGTCCATAATTCATAACGCTTCCTCCAGTGAAACAGTCCATCTCCTGTTGTCCTCTCACATTTGTTAGAACTGTTTTGGCTTGATGTTTTGGTTTTGATCTGTGCATTTTTTTTCTCCTGATTCAGAAGAGACGAGTTTTCACTACAGAACGCAGCCGGAAGAAAATGTTTTAACATTAAAACCTTTTTAATGATGGATTTGTTTCTTACAAACACTCAGCTTTTGGCTTCACAAGATATTAACTGATGGACTGGAGTGGTGTGGATTATTGTGATGTTTTTATCAGCTGTTTGGACTCTCATTCTGACGGCACCCATTCACTGCAGAGCATCCATTGCTGAGACACTGATGCAATGCTACATTTCACCAAATCTGATGAAGAAACAAACTCATCCTAATCTTGGATGGCGAGTAAACTGTCATAACATTTTTATTTTTGGGAAAACTTTTACTTCAACAATTATTTTGAATGAATCAGTGCAATAAAAACATTTATTTACACTAACATGCAGATATGCACTCACCTACAACAAGGAAAACCCACCACAGCCAGTACTGGCCATCAAAATATCCAGTGAAGTAGGTAGAATACTGTTTAATCACAGAAAGAAAAGGGTGAGTGTTGTTCATCCTCTAATAAAAAGCACTAATAAAATAATAACATGAAATTACAAATAATATAACAAATATTTGAAAACACATATGATGTAATATGGAACATGTCATACCCTGACAATCAGGACCCATTTGACCAGAGACAGTCCAAACCCAGAGATGGCCCCATAGCGTCCAGCTGCAGACGTGGTCAGACAGAAGGACAGGAAGAAGCCAATCCAGTTAAAGAGGAACGCCACTGATGACGCAAAGAAACGAAGAGATATTAACATATCTGATGCAATTTTTTTGATGACAAAAAATAATATTTTGCTGAGTGTGTTTGTGCGCTGGTACTTTGGCTGGTTTAGGCCCGTTACGGATAAATAAATATGGCACTAAAACTGCCACTAGGTGGCAGCAAGTCCCTGTCTTAATGAGTGATTCATTGAATCATTCTTTCAAATGATTCATTTAGCAATGAAGCAAGTGACTGCCTTTACGAATAAATCATGATTTGTTAAAAAAATTCATTCAGAAACGAAACAGCACAGTGTTGCTCTGAGACGCATAAATGTTCTGCTCTGGCTCTGATTGGAACTATTTTCGTAGGAGAAACAGAAAAAAACAAAACAGAAAATGTGTCTAAAAATGTAACGTACTCCATATGAACCTTTTTGAACTGATGTATAAAATTAATATCACATTTGCAATTGCGATCACATGCTAATATTTAGGAAAACAGCTGATGCTTGGGTGATATTACGTAACTATATAAATATAAAAACTAAAAACATTTTTTTCCTTCATAACTTGAATTATAGGCTCATTCTAACTGCATTCTAATAGGCTTCCTCATGCAGTGAATGCTTTTGGACTCTCAAGACGTGTTTTTGTTTTTTGCAATGCGACTGACATACTCCATAATTTCAGGTTATATATTGTTAAAAGAACAATTACGATATTATCGCACACAATAAATAACGCACACCCATACCATCCATAATCCACAGCAGACTAAGTGTATCATAAAGAGAAAGAATAAACCAAAGACACAACAACAACTGTTCTGCATCAAAGTACTGTGTGCTCTTACTGAAAAACGTAAGCATGAAAATCCCATCGTTCCCAACCCGCAGTTGATCTGTATCATCAAAGCTGTCTCTGGCAATGAAGTCCTCATCCTGTAGTAGAGGAACAAGCACGGATGTGTCAAAAGAGTGCTTAATTAACTGTAATTACCCCTAAAACAGCCACAATCGCTCACCCTGTCGGTGACTAGAGGAACGGTGGCCTCTGCTTTGCTCCTCTCAGCCTCGTCGTATGACGGCAGTGACGTGGCAACATTGTATGAGGGGGGTTTGGGGTAAACCTCATCCTCTTTGTACTCAAAGAAAGCTACAGCAAACGCATCAGACAGAGTGAAACGGTTAGGAATAATGACAGACACAGTAGTTATTTCACACACTCACGTTACCTGCGTTACTCGCTGTGATGCTGCTGTACGGTGGAGGCGCATCCGCGGCTTCTTGAAACACCTCCGCTGACTCCTGCTCATTATTCAACTACACAACAAAACAAAAACAAAGCTGCTGATATCATATTACAACAATATTCATTTTAATATAAGATAAAAGTAAAATTTTAAATAATAAAATCAGAACACATACACACACACACACACACACACATATATATATGTATATATATACTGTATATATGTATGTGTGTGTATATTATATATATATACACACACACACTGTACCCATGTACAGTCATTTTAGACACTTCCAAAACTGTTGCAACAGAGATGGAAATACACATTTTAAATACATGAATTATGTTTTCATCTTTGTTGCCACAGTTTTGGATGTTTTTTTCTGTTTTAAAGAAGGGGGTGTCCCAATACTTTTGTCCATATGGTGTATGTACAAGTCACTGGTGTTCGGTAATGAGTTTTTGGCTCAAGGTCTGCATTTAAAGTCACACCAGAGGGATTCTGGGATTCTGCAGACCGGTCAAGTTCTTCCACACGGACTCAATCAATCATTTCTTTTTGAATCTTGCCTTATACACAGAGGCATTGTCATGTTAGAATAGAAAAGGGTCTTGTCCAAACTGTTCCCTAGAATATCATTATATGCTTAAACATTAAGATTTGTACTCATGGAATTTAGTAAAGTAGTCAATCATGTTCATTAGAAGGGTGACCCAATACTTTTGTCCATAATAGTGTATATAGATACCCTGTATGTGTGTGTGTGTGTATATGTGTATATGTGTATGTGTGTATATGTGTATATGTGTATATGTGTATGTGTGTATATATGTGTATATATGTGTATATATGTGTATATATATGTATATATGTATATATGTGTATATATATGTATATGTATATATGTATATGTATATATATATATACACACACACACACATATATATATTTATTTTTTAAAATAAGTGTATTCCATGTATTCTGACACATACATGGATGTCTCTGAGCTAAGCCCTGGATATCCACCCGAGAACTGACCCTGAGTGCAATTATAGATAATGGCTTCTCCATGTTTTACAGATGCCAGATTTCAAATATTCCATAAATCAAAAACAATTCAAGAGTTTTTCCCAGCAGTTCCCAGACTGAAGCTGCAAATGCTTTTTAAAAATACATTATTATTGTACCTTTTTATTTGTTTTAACAACCTGAATCTATTCTATTCTATTCTATTCTATTCATGTCACTCAGGACTAAAATAGCTGCAGTTATTAAACTGACCACAGGATGTCGCTGTTCTGATGATTTTTGCCCCTCATTCTGCTCATGCTGTAAAACGTTATTATGCAATGGTCAGCTTATTATAAGAAAATGGAGAAAAAATGAATAGCTTGTAAAGGGACAAATCTTAAGAGCCCATATTATAAAAAGAAATTTGAGGGAAGCGCATGTTTTGCCCATGTGGTCTCCAAATCTATATTATTTTACACCACATTTGAAACAAATGAACTCAGCACTTCAGTCTTCTTAAAGGATTCAAGTCAGAGTATAGGCCTACCTCACAATTCCGACCGCAATAATTAATCTGCCAGAGAGAATCATATGCATGCAATTAAATCCCGCTATTTTCTGTGACCGCATGTGCAGTTTGAGCCAAGACCATGAATGAATTAATCACAGATTTTCTCACACGAAGGCACAAAACAGATTGGCAGTGCTGAGTTCGATGTGAACGGCTAACCTGCGCCTCTCAGCGTACAGAGAGAGTTTCTTTCAATAGCAGATTCCTATTTACGTGATTTGAGTAACACACTTTTTTTTCTACATAGCGGTCACGGGTATCGTTATGACCCCTCCCTGCGCCCGACTGTTCGTGATATGGCACTGCCAATGCCTTTTGGCCAGATTTCAACTCCTGCTGTCAGCTCCAGAGTCTTTGTCTCTGGCTAAGATGACCCAGTTTCGCGCTCGGTGTCGTGTTGCAGCTCCGGCTGCGTGTGTGTGTGTGTGTGTGTGTTCCTGCACGCAGGGCTGTGCTGCTAAGCCGCCTGTTGACAGGTATGATATAGAGTGCATCTGCTCCCTGAGCCCTCTCACACACAGCAGACAATTGAGTGCGAGATCGTAATGGGAGTGGGGCCCTGAGGGCCCGGCCGTGGGGCTGGGAGGGCTACGGCTCCTGTGTCATGGTTAGGCTGGTGTCAAGGTTTGAGTTTACGATCAACCCCCAGTCTTTTCTCTTTCTCTCTCTCTCCACACACACACACACACACTCAGCATTACTAAGCAATGTGCCTCATAGATCTCTGAGATTTCTCCCTTGGGGCCAATCCCTCGTAATCTAAATTAATTGCCTGTCCTTGAAACTGTAATCGGGTTTCACTTTCTCGCTTTTTCACTTTCTCGCTCAACAGTGTGTATAAACACATTTATATATACACACACATACATATTAAATATTAAAGTATACATAATAAAGACTGTTTATATAATATTTTTAACATAAGATAAACAAAATATTAATATAGAGCATATATATATATATATATATATATATATATATTGCTGAAATATGATTTAGATGATCATTCACGAAACTAAACAGGTTCACCTCTGTCTTCTTGTAAGTCATGAACTTTAACACTGTTTAACATGAGATCAATTATCACTGCAAACAACACTTGATCGGAATGATATATTGATAATTCATAATAAAGTACGGACTATATTGTATTCACATTCTATAGTTAATCATCGTGAGCTCTTGGTTTTTCCGGTTTCGGTTTGTTGTTATGCTAATGCTAACTGAAGGCGCGGCTAACCAGCTAATTAATCCGTCCGACTTTATCCTCTCTCTTCTCAAAACATTACAGTTAAGACTCTGAGAAATTATGAATTATGAAACAGGCCCCAAGTTTGTTAACGTTACCTGCTGATATCCACTCCTCTGTTCTGTCATTCTTCCGCGTCGATCTCTTCACTTAATCACTCATACAGTAACGACCACTAGTTTAACGTAACTTTGACTTAATATCACAACAACTGATTGTTCGTTAATTACAATATTCTCGAAGGAACTCAGGTTGACAGCACTAGGCTAATCTATAGCCCACACAATGGCGACTGCGCATGCGCAGGCGGTTTCAGTGCGGCTCTGTCTCAAAGCCTAGTGTGCTGCCTACCTAGACAGCATTTCAGCTGCTATAGACGTGCTTGGAAGTGGCTCCGCTCAGGCAGCTCACTAGGTTTTGAACACAGCCCATGGGTGTATTTATGTCAGTGCAAAGATTGTTGTTATGTAACCAATTAAAGAGAAATTTCCATGAGTAACTCTGCTTAACGGTTGAACTAAAAGTACCTTTGAACCTTTCATTTGCAATGGCTAGAGAGATTAGTCCCTCAGTCCCAGTACAGTGACAAACACTCAGTATTTCTGTAAGTGCAGTCTGTTGGAGTGGGGGTTCAATCTTCAACTGGCTGGCAGGAGCCGCCACTGGCAGGTCGCTTGACCTGCCAGAATCAGACTGGCAGCTGCCACCAGCCAGTTGAAGATTGAACCCCTACAGGTCTGTTGAGTGCTGTAATTTCTTGACTCCTGAGGGCACGTCTTATTCCCAACCATTGTGAACCACTGAGTTATTTTTGCTCAGTCATGTATGAACTTGATTACACTGAACTGCCTATTTTGTCTATTGTGATATTGGAAATGTGTTCATGACTTTTCACCTGCATGGTGGGGAAATGTTTCTTTAGTCTAATAGTTTCACACAATAATAATAATAATTAAAAAAAAGGTAATTCTTGTACAGTTAAACATGTCATTGCCCTCCTCCACCAGTGTTGTCATTGATAACTAATACAAAAACGATTTAAACATGTTTTCATTAACTGAAATAAAGCTTAAATAAAATACAATACAATAACATATAAATATTAGATGCATATTAAATTAAATTAAAACTAAAAACTTAAAAAAATAATTAAAAAAAATTAGAAATGTTACCTTGGCAACTAACTGAACAAAAAAAATGTATTACAAATAAAAGTGAAATAAAACAAAGGTGTGTGTGTGTGTATATATATATATATATATATATATATATATACACACACACACACACATATATACCTATGTTAAAAATTAAATAAAACTATAAAAACAAAAGGCAATACTAAATATTATAACAGCATATAAATACTGAAATACCATATATCATCAATCCAAAGATTAATATTTACAGTACTAAGTCTATTTATTCATCAATTTGTTATTTATTTGGTCACATTTAAGTCGATTATTATATAAACACATTTTAATTCAATACATCAGGTACTGAGAGGTTTAATAAAAGAAATAAAGTAATATAAAAACAGTGCAATTTGGGTAAATACACAACCACAAATCTGTTGTGTGTCTATTCTTCTTATCAGTCTACTGCTCTTCCACCATCTTGTTGTGCACATCCATAATGCCTGAAAAAAAACATTAACAATTTTCTTACATGCACAATATCCCTGTATTCACTTCATTCCGTCAGGAGAGAGAGAGAGAGAGAGATCAACTAGTTGTTAAGTCGGTGTTACCTTTGAAATACTTGACCGTTTTGACCCGCAGCTCCTGTGTGGCGTCTTCATCGCACACAAACACAGCCTGCGGGTGCTGCTGGAACGCTGACACCGTCCACATGTGATTCACTCCCTCTTCTATGGCTTTATAGAGCGCAAACGCTTTATGTGAGCCAGTGATAAGGATCATGACCTGAAAATGTCATATAATCACGTTAGCATTCGTTGTATTGTTTCAGATCAGCCCACAACCGCTGATGCTGTTGAATGGACGCTTTTCACAAACTATGATCAGTGTTATCTAACGCGAGATACCTAACCAGATTACTTTTTCAAGTAACTAGTAAAGTAACACATTACTTTTTAATTTAGGCAAGGCAGGTTTATTTATATATTTCATACACAATGGTAATTCAAAGTGCTTTACATAAAAGAATAAAAAGATATAATTACTTTTGTAGTTTTGATTTCGGCATTATCTATGTGAATATTAAAATCCCCTGCAATAGCAAAACAGTCAAACTCTGAGGAAATCATTGATAACAGTTCTGTGAACTCTTCAGCAAAGGCTGGAGAGTATTTTGGAGGCCTGTAAATAATGATAAACAGAATGCGTGGAGCAGCTTTCAGCACAATCCCTAGATATTCAAAAGATAAGTACTGACCAAATGACACTTGCTTGCATTGATAGACATCTTTAAATAGAGCAGCTACACCTCCACCTCTCCTAACAGTCCTTCAAACACTCATGAAAGTAAAGTTAGGAGGGGCTGTTTCATTGAGGACCGTTGCACTGCAGCTGTCTTCTAGCCATGTTTCGTTTAGAAACATAAAATCCAGGTTGTTTGTGGTTATTAAGTCATTGATCAGAAGTGATTTATTTTTTAGTGAACGAATGTTTAAAAATGCTAACTTGATGGCATTGCTTTGTCTCTTAGTTTGATGCATAACAGGCCGCAGATTAGATAAGTCAGCCGTATGGCTTAAGAAGGTCTTAGACTTTCTATCACGTGATAAAACAGAAATGGAGAAAGCTACAGGCACACTGGGTTCCCGCTTGTTCTGTAAACATTTGTAAGTGTTGCTGTTATTGTAGCGGGGACCCGACACATATCACAAGCACATATCTGAGTTACTTTTTCAAATAAGTAACACCAGTTACTTTCTTTCTCATTTATTGACTGGCCGCTCTCCTGTCCACATGTTGAGAGAAATTGGGAGAGGCGCTGTGTGCGCTGTGTAAACATGCAAAAGTTAAATGTTAAGTAACACAAATATCCTTTATGTATTTAATGCCATTTTATTAATCAATGTCTTAGTTGCTGATCTTCAATGAGCCAATTCAACCATACTTTCACTAACACATTACTTTCTATAAAAAGTAACTAAGTAACGTAATTAGTTACTTTTTTAAAGTAGTAACGCAATATTGTAATGCATTACTTTTAAATGTAACTTTCCCCAACACTGATCTCGCCATTATTAAAATTGTGAATCTAGCAAAATTTTTTTTTTTACGAGAGAACGCAAAAATGATATTTGTTGTTATTTTTTATATCTTAAAATCAGAATAGTGTGCACTTCTTTTTTTAACTTTTGTTAATTATGCACATTATTATAATATTCATATCTTTTTTATTTTATTTTTTACATTTTTTAAAATATTATGTTTTATTTTATTTATATATTTTTAAGTATCAGTTTATGTACTGTAAATGAAATGCAGACTATAATATGTAGTTGCTATTTTGCAAGCAACACTGCATATAAACTAGCTTACAATAAATGTTTGAAGGCATTGTTTGAATAAATGTGGCCAGAGAAATGTGCAGTTAGTTTGGCACTAAAGCCGAGTCATCTTATAGGAGCAGAAGAAGGAGGGGCTGACATTTATAGACGTAATTATTAGGAAAAGCACAAATGTGAATATTTGTACCTCTCTAGCATCCATCACTGTGCCAACACCAACCGTCAGCGCCATGGTGGGGACTTTAGAGAGATCACCATCAAAGAAACGAGCGTTAGCCAGAATGGTGTCCATAGCCAGGGTCTTAACACGCGTTCGGGACACCAGACTGGATCCAGGCTCATTGAACGCAATGTGGCCATCAGGTCCAATACCTGCAACACGATTACAAGCCAGCGTTGTTTAATGGTGGCACTCACAGGTCAAAGTTCAATCGACTGTCTTACCGCCAACAAAAAGTTCGATTCCTCCAGCAGCTTTGATTTTGGCTTCAAAGTCCTGACACTCCTTCTCTAGACTGGACGCGTTGCCGTCTAGGATGTGCGCATTTTCTGCTCGGATGTCGATGTGCTTGAAGTAGTTATTCCACATGAATGAATGGTAGCTTTCAGGATGGTCTCTAGGAAGTCCTGTAACAAAAACAGCAAGTTCAGTGTTCAACTAATTACGACAGGCAGTTCAACCCTTGATCCCCAAGCATAAACGAGCGGTCACATACCTACATACTCATCCATATTAAATGTTTTCACATACTGGAAAGATATTTCTCCCTTCTTGTGATACTCGATCAGTTTCTTGTAGCATCCAAGCGGAGTGCTTCCTGCAAAACACAGGAAATATGAACAGGCCTATATTACAAATGAACGTGTTTGCTCAAAACAGTGAATTTTTTTTATTTTTTATGGCTACCTGTTGGAAGACCCAGAGTGAAGAATCGGTCAGGACCAGGATTAAACTTCTTGATCCTGTTCCTGATGTATTTGGCAGTCCATTCACTGACCTGGTCATAGTCATCCAGTATGATGAGCTTCATGGCTTTATCTGTGTCTGAAGGAAGCTAACAGGTAAATTAACTTGGAGTCTGTGTGTGTGTGTGTGTGTGTGTGAGACACAGTCCTGCCTTCTCCAGACTTTAGCACCATACATTAATGGAAGCACAGTTGTAGTTTATTACACTTGACTGATATTTAGAAGTGCACTGCACAGTGAAGACAGCGCTCTCGTTATAAGACAATTGACTGTAAACATGCGACAGATTATTGAAGGGTCTTTATACTTCACTACTCTTTTTGACACACCAACTCGTAGTTTCTCTCAGCAAGTTAATAAACAAACTATAATCGTTTGCTTTGAGTTACAAAAAATGTTTATAGAACACGTGACTAGAAAATCGCGATGATGACACTGGAATTCATAATGAAATATATTAAAATACACACAAAGAGACTAAAATAAACTCTTACCAGATCATATGTTTGTGAGGAACTCTTCCTGCAGCTCAGAGGAACACGATCATGTGATCGAGAGGAAATGCTGCACTTTCACACGGGATTTGAGATTAAAATACATTGCGTCATCAAAAAGAGATTTTAGGAATGATCTAGAAACAAATTCGGCCAAGTCGACAAGATTTATACACTTAAAGATAGTTTATTAATCCATAAATGTGTACAAGGCAATTTCCACGTACAATGGGGCCGTGCAAATCAATCAATAAAGTTCGAAATGAGGTGCTTTACATTTAAAACATGTTGATTAATGACTAAAGGAGGCCAATTTAAACTAGATAAAAAAGTTTGTCAAGACAAACTTTAAGTTGTCTTGAGAAAGCCGGACCAGAAAGTTTGAAAAGATTAAAAAGTTTTACGTTTTTTAAAGTTTTATGGTTTTCAGTCTGAAATAGTTTGAAGTTTAAAGTAGTTTTAAAAGCTTCAAGTTTTGAAGTCAATACAGTCTATCAGAGGATAGATAGATAGATAGATAGCTGATAGATAGATAGATAGATAGATAGATAGACAGATAGAGAGATAGATAGATAGATAGATAGATAGATAGATAGATAGAAATAGTCAGATGATAGATAGATAGATATAGATGGATAGATAGAAATAGTCAGATGATAGATAGATAGATGGATGGATAGATAGATAGAAATAGTCAGATGATAGATAGATGGATGGATAGATAGAAATAGTCAGATGATAGATAGATAGATGAATAGATAGAAATAGTCAGATGATAGATAGATAGATAGATGGATAGATAGATAGATAGAT